GGGGTTAGACAATGAAAGTTAGTGTGGGAGGTTTTATGGTTAAATTAGACCAGCCTGGTGGTCAGTCTTCATTAATTACACATTGCACCAGTAAGAGCAGAGTGTGAAGGTTCAGTTAGCAGGGTCAGAGCACAGTTTGGCTTAAAATATTGCAATGACAACAACATTATGGGTGACACACCAGAGTTCAAAAGAGGACAAACTGTTGGTGCACGTCTTGTTGGAGCATCTGTGACCAAGACAGCAAGTCTTTGTGATGTATCAAGAGCCACAGTATCCAGGATAATGTCAGCATACCACCAAGAAGGACCAACCACATCCAACAGGATTAACTGTGGAGCAAGAGTCTGAAACTGAAATCTGAAAGGATGTTCTGGTCTAAAACCAGCTGTTTCACTTTCATTGTCTAACCCCTGTATGATTCAAATTCTGTTCTAAAATTAAGTATTTTGTGTCACACATCCGGGTACTTGAAAAAAGCCAGAGTAATCAAACAGATTAACAGATTTTAGTTTTTTACTTTAGTGAAACTTCCTTTACTGTTTATGTAATGTAATATTGTTGATGCAATCACCATAAAAGTGACAAAAAAAAGACCAAGTGATTAATTTGACTTATAGAAAACGTTCCATATTAATTGCATCGTGGAACTCCAGCATGGAAACGGCTCGATTCATTTAAACAGCAGCTGGGAGCGATGCTGTATGGGGACTGAACCTCCTGTCAGTACTTTGGGACCAGGAGGAGCTCTCCATTGTCAGTTCTCACTCTGTTCAGTTCTGCTCAGGTGTAGTTGTGTTTCCACAGCACACAGCTTAAGCCATCATGTTCAACTTTCTTTTTAACTAACAGGTGGGCAGTTCAAAACCTCCCAGGATATTTATTCATTTTAGACTGCTCCCTTCAGCTCAAGCTGTATGAGCTCCCCTCCTCCAGCCTGCACCTCTCCAGGAAAAGTCTTAATAACACCAGAAAAGCAGTCACTAGATTTTTTTGCTAGTTGCTTTTTTTAAAACAGTTACTAGAGTGTCTGAAAACTTGCTAAATATAGAGACAAAGTACAGTAGCTACATTGGCACTGTGTTCCACAATCCACCTCTCTCATGTCAGACAGCTGTGTTAATTCAGTCCTGTATTAAAACTGTCAAATTATCAAACATTNGGTCTCTCTGCTTAGGCTGCTGCCCCCGAGACCTGACCCCGGATAAGAAGAAGAAAACGGTTGGATAGATAAGAGCATTTGATGTTCTAAAACTTGTTTGTACTTTTTTTATTGATGTCTTTGAAGATGTAGAATTTGTCCATGGCTTTGCACCAGCCTTTCCCATTAGAAGCAGGCATTTGAACTGTGCACTTATGGCAGATGGATGGTCCCTTTCCTCTTTAGTACAGAGGATGTGGCATTTGTCATTTCCAAAAAATAAATAAAAAAACCAAATTTGAATTTGTCAGACTGCAAAGCAGTTTCCCTCTTTAGCTTGGTCCATTTTAAAAGAGCTTTGTTCCAGAGAAGATGACAGCAGTTAGGTTTATTTTTTTCATAAGCAATACAGTTGTACATTATTCCATTTTATTTTTAATATTTGTATTTTCACATCATAAAGTTTTTGGAAGTCGAGGCTGTATTTTTTAAAATTATGAAGAAATGTATTATAAGAAAATAATTTAGAAATGTGTTATATTTTTGGTGATCATTTGACTTTCAGTTAGTCCCACTGAGGGTACCACTGTTTTAGACTAACAGGATGATTCCTCTTGTCAACTTGTTGCAGGCTATCTCCCAGCACTATGGTGACGCCTCACAAAAAAAGCATGCTGGGAAATGGGAACTATGATGTAAATGTCATCATGGCAGCTTTGCAGACCCGGGGATTTGAGGCAGTTTGGTGGGACAAAAGAAGGTATGTAGGTTCTGACAAGACAGCATTCGTTTGAATGGACCGACTATATGCAAGTGAAAGGCTGCAAAGATGCTCCAGTAGTATAGACACAAGTCCACTGTCTGAGGCCATGAGAATATCATTAGTAACTTTCACCAGTGCTGTTTCTGTGCTATGATGAGCTCTAAACCCTAACTGAAACTCCTCAGATAGATTATTTCTGTCAAGATGTTCACATAGTTGATTTGCAAATATTTTGTCAAAAATCTTTGAGATGAATGGGAGATTAGATATAGGTATGGGGGAAAAACGTGCCAACAGAAACTAAATTTGAATTGCTCAGATTGAATCTGTATTTGCAGAATGTGAAATGAAATGCGTTGGTTTGAAATATAATTTCACTAATTTGAAATTGAATTTAAAGTTTTGAATTTGAATT